GGAGCAGAGCCTTTGGGGCGGCCCAGCGCCAACAAAGGGGACGCGACGCTGCCTCCTGGGGACGGCTCTGTCCCCTGTGAGGATGGGGCCGGGGACGCTCGTGCCTTTTTCCCAAGCTTTTCAGCACTGCTGCTGGCTCGGAACCTCGAGCGCTGCCTCGCATCCTCGGGACAAAAGGCGGAGCATCTCCGGGGGGGGGCCCGGAGCGGGCGGAACATCACCGACGCCAGCGGACGCAGCGCTGCGGGGGCTGTGCCCACCCCTCGGGGCAGCTCCCGTCCGCCCGCGCTGACCCCCGCCGGGCACAGCTCCTCCCCGGGTCGCGGGTTTTCGGGGCTTCGCAGCCCCCCCGCCCCACACCAGTTCCCATTCCCGGGCTCACGGCCGCCGGGAAGTGCTGACGCGGGGCCGTGACCCCGTTAATAAATCTGCCGGCCGGTGAGTCACGGCGAGGGCCGGGCGCTTAATGCCATTAGCAGCCCGGGCGCGGTAAGCAGGTCGCGGGCGTAAGAGGCTTAACCCGGATCCGCGGGGCTGGGGCGGCCGGGGGTCCCGGGTCGGGTTCTGTCGCGCCACGTGGGCGCGAACAAAAAGCAACAGATTGCAAACAATGAGAGTGGCCGAGCGGATGGGCAGCGCCGCGGGCCAACGGGAACCGAGCGAGGTGGTGCTGCTCCGCCAGGTGGCCAATGAGAGGCCCCCGGGGGCGGGCCCTACGGTCCGGCTTTCATTAATGGACGGCGGCGGGAGTTGTGTACGCACGTGGTTGAGATCGGCCGCGTTGTGACAGTGGTGAATGTCGCATTCCGGCCCGCAGCTCGGCTACCGGGGGAGGCTGGCGAAGGGCCGAGCCGAGGCTGTGCCCTGGGGGCCGATGATGCCGCACCGAGCACCTCAGGACCTGGCTTCAGAGCCAGAGAGATGGAAAAGGTGGCATTGCTCTGCTAAGGCGAGAGCAACAGCAGCGCGTGCGAAGTGGGACCACCTCACTGTCCCCAGCCTTCGCCCCGCTGAGCTTTGTGGGGTCAGCTGCGGTGGCACCGGGCACACAGTGGTTTAGCGGCTTTGAATTATTTGGATCTTGCAGTGCTGTCTCTCCCTCCCCCACTGCCCTCAGGGATTCAGAAGGACTGTCACCTCTGTCCCCGCAGCCTGGGCTGAATGGGGGGATGGGCGTCGGGCCGGGCTCTCAATGGGGTTTGTCACTTGTGAAAAGTAACAAGTCACCACGAGAGTGTGGAATGGGTCGGGGGAACAAAGGGCGGCTTTGCCCCCATGTCCCTCATTTACAATTCCAATGGACCGTGAATGTGTCGGAGCAGGGACAATCTTTGGAGTCGAAGCCTCTCCCTGGTCTCCGGGTTCAGCTCTTCCCCTCCCTTCCCCAGGCGGGTGGGCTGGGGCATTGCCTGTTGCTGCTTTGCCCAGGACATGTGTTACTCCTAGGGCAACAGTGAAGGCCCGGCCCGGTTTTGGGGGGTCTGGACACGTGTCTGTAGAGGGAAATCTGCCTGGTAGTGTTGAAAGAGCATTTAAAATCACACAGATACCTTGTGGAGGTCATGGGGTGGCTTTGCAGAGCATGAGAAACTTCGGGGTACGGCAGCGGGGAATGGCCAGGGCTGCAGGGAGACACACGGGCTGAGGGGCTCTCAGATAACGGGGATTGTTTTTTCCATGTCTGTTGTGAACAGAGGGCGAAGAGATCGATGTGGTGACAGTGGAGAAGAGGCAATCGCTCAGCCTGCGGAAGCCGGTCACCATCACCCTGCGTGCTGACCCCCTGGACCCCTGCATGAAGCGCTTCCACATCTCCATCCATCAGCAGCAGCACAACTACGCTGCCCGTTCACCGCCAGACACCTGTGCCCAGCCCAAATCCCTGCATCAGGACGAGGAGGAGCTGCTGAGCGCTGCGGAACCCCCCGCCCCCTCCCACGCGCTGCCTGACCCCGCTCTGCCAAAAGCTGCCCCCGGCTCTGACAGCGAAGATGTGGCCAAGAGGAAAAACCACAACTACCTGGAGCGCAAGCGGCGCAATGACCTGCGCTCACGCTTCCTGGCGCTGCGGGACCAGGTGCCTGGGCTGGCCAGCTGCCCCAAGACACCCAAGGTGGTGATCCTGAGCAAATCCTCCGAGTACCTGCAGTCGCTCATCAGCGCCGAGCGGAGGATGGCAGCCGAGAAGCGGCAGCTGCGGCTGCGGCAGATGCAGCTGCTCAGACAGATTGCGCAGCTCAAGGGGCTCTAGCATGGACCTGCCTGCCCCCTGGCCCCGCAGCCCCACGGTTCCCTCTCGATTTGCACATTTTTGATCTTTGGTTGTTGAACCCTTGCTGCCGGGGGCGGTGGCTCCACGCTGCTCGGTGACTTCAGCCCAGGGGCTCGCTGCGTCTCGCCGTGCTGCTTGTCCTGCAGCTGTTATCCACCACCAGCACTGCAGGAGCTGCCGCACGCGTCCATCCCAGGACGCCCCCATCGACTGCTGCAGTGGGGCGCGCTGTGTGGCTCATGTTGGGATGGGTTCCAGCAGGGACGGCGATGGGGACGTGTGACCCTGACCTGAGCGGTGCCCTGCAGGCCATCCCCTGCTCCCTTGGCTCGGTGAGGCTGTCCCTCACTTTCTTACCACTTCATGCAGTAGTTTGTGTTGGACTTTGTGTTCTAGGAACTGCTGCTGTAACTGCGAGTCTTATACTGGAGGCTGTGTTTTTATACTGTATTTTTGTACCACTTTTTGAGAAGTATTGGTAAAGAGTTTGCTTTTTTATATAAAAAAAACTTTTTTTTTTTTTTTTTCTTTTTGGAGGGGGTGGGGAGCTTCTGCTGTTGGAAGGCTCCATCCTGCTGCACTTTAGGGAGATCAGGAAGGAGCTGATTCCTGCTGGAACCTTGAGCCGAGTCCTGGCAGAGGCTGGTTCCCACCTCGCAGCTCTCCAACCCACCCGTTTGCAGTCACGGGTTCTCCTCGTTTTCCCCCCCAACCCTGCCGCCACCCCTTTGCCCACAGCTGCCTGAAGCCCCCAGCAATGCTTCAGGCGGTGCAGGATTCGGGCTGGAGGAACACCCTGAGGTGCTGGCAGGGATGGCTCTGCTGACCTGCTGAGAACCATTAGTTAACGCTGTGGTTGGATTTAGCACTTTCTTCATTACCTCACACTTCATAAATAAATAAGTTGCAAAGACGGCCTGGGTTGGCGTTTTCCATGTGGGTGGCTGTGGGTTTCCGTTCATTGTGGGTTTCCATTCATCGCACTTCAATGCTCTGCAAAGGGGAGGTGGAGGGGCCAGCAGCCTGGCTGCTGTTTTGGGCTGTCTGGGGTGCTCAGGGCCCAAGCAGGAGTGAATGCACCCTGCACCAGGGCTGTGTTCTTTGTCCCAGCAATTGAAATGTGAGTGGGTACAGCTGATGAATCACCTGGATTATTTTTCCTCCCTTTAAGTGGGTTTATTGGCACAGGGGACAGAGTCTGTGCAGGGCTCCGAGGGGCCTTGGTGTAACCAAACACTCCGTTAATGGGCTCAGGGCATTCTGTGGCTTGCTGCCTTCCATGGGGGCTGCCAGTAACCCTATAGCTGGGTGGGGGAGAATGCAATCTGCCTGCTTCAAGGGGAACTTTGGGCAGCCGTATCTGCCACGTGGATTAAATTATACATATACATGTACTCTCCCCCCCCTTCCCTGAACTCAGTGCTTTTGGGTTTCATTCATAGTGCCAGCAGAAATCTCACTCCGAGTGGGAGGGATGCAGAGTCCTGTCGCTGCCGAGCAGAGCAGTGCTCACCCCAGGCAGCCAGGCTGAAGCAGCAGTGCTCCTGTGCAGGGTCTCACACATCCCTGCTCCCTGCAATATTTCACACTTTCTGCACGCTGTGTTGCGCTGTGTCAGAGCGCTTCAGAGCTGCATTAGGGGCAGCTCGCAGGAACCACAGCTTAAACATGGGGCAGGGTGACCTAAATCTGACACCTCGCCGGCAAGCAGGAAACAAAGCCTGCATGTCCCCGGCCCGGCGGTTTTGTTGTGTGCAGGCCGGCCATTTCAACGAGGTTTGTGGAAAGGCGGACTTTTTCCTCTCATGCTAAAGGATGTGGGACGTTACAGACTTCACTTCTTTTTCACGGCTCCTGTGGCCTGAGCTGACCATCAGCAGTGGAGGAGCAGTGGCAGTTTTGCACGCACCTTTCAGTTCCCCTGCTTAAAACCCTTGTCCATAAGTAAGTACCTACCCAAACACTCCCAGTTCCTAAAGCAGATGTCTCCCCTTTCGCTGGCATGGTATGAGACATGAAAACGGCGCTGCTAAGTGCACAACATGACCACGCAGCCCTCCTGTCCCCAACTGCTCGCTCTGCATTTCAGGAGTGTCAGCTGTGCCCGCTGCCATCTCGCACCTCCAACCGCAGATGTTTTGAGCCCCCACCCGCAGCACCCCGCTCCCGTTGCTGGAAGGATCCGTGTCGCAGGGGAGCAGCGCCGCCGGGATAACCAACCCCCCCCCGCCGTCACCATGGCAACAACCCCCCCCCATCCCCAGCTCTTCTCTGTTGCCACGGCGACAGCCTCGGCTCCCCATCTCCCGTGTTGCCACGGTGACGAGTCTGCCTCTGCCTTTGGGAGGAGGCCGCCGCGGTTGCCACGGCAACGGGCTCCTCTCTGTTGCCATGGCAACTGCCTCGGCTCTTCTGCCCCGTTGCCACGGTAACGGCATCCTTCCCACCCCGTCTTGCCCCCCCTTCTTTCCCCGCCGGGCGCTTTGGGGCACAATTCAGCTCCAGCTGGCCCGCGGAAGATCAAAAGGGGCCGGCAAGGGAACCGGGACCGGGACCCGGAGCGCGGCCGGGATCAGCGCTGGGACGCGGGCGGGCTGCGGCCGGGAGCCCGGGACACGACGGGGTACGGCCGGGACCGCGGCCCGGGGCGGTGCAAGAGCCCGGGGCCGCCCTCCCGGTCCTTCCGCGGGCGTCCCCGGCCCGGCCCGCCCCCGCCCCGCCCCGCCCGCCCGTTTCCATGGCAGCCGCCGGGCCGGGCCGGGTCATGGCGGCGGCGTTGTGCCTGGGCCGGGCCTCGCCTCCGCGGCCGCTCGTGGTGATCCTGGGCGCCACCGGCACCGGGAAGTCGGCGCTGGCTGTGCAGCTGGGGCTGCGCCTGGGCGGAGAGATCGTCAGCGCCGACTCCATGCAGGTACGGGCGGCGTGGGACCGGGGAGGCTGCGAGGGGGCCGGGCCGGGGGGGGCGGGCAGCGCAGCGGGGGCGGGGAGGGCGCGTCCTGCGCGGAAGGCGTGCGGCGCCGCGGTAGGCCGCAGTAGGCCGCAGTAGGCCGCGCTGCCGGGGAGCCCGGGATCCGTCCGCGGTTGTCTGAGGCGGGCCTGGGGCCTGCGAGAGGCCCCCCACTAGACCCGCAGCCCGTTCAGCGTGTTGGTTACGCTCCCTAAAGAGGTGTTTAACCCCAGCACGGCAGTCTTTGCCGTTCGTGCTGCTCTTTTCATGCCCACCTTCTGTTTCCTGCTCGGGGCTGCTGACGCTGGGCTCAGTGGTTCTCTTGCAGGGCTGAGTTTGTGAGCACTCCGTCCGTCATTTAAAACGAGTGATCAGACGGCTTTAATTTTATTTTAAGTGTTTTCCTTAAACTCATGGGGACAGAGTCTGGAGTTTAAAAGCACGGAATCCCAGAGAGACCTTTGTGCAGGGCCTGCGTTGCCCCACGCTGTCCCACGTCATGGCCTTCGCTCCTGGACCTGTGTCTGTGCACCTGGGGCTCTCGGTGCTCCCAGTGGTCCCCAGGTACCCCCTGGAGCTCCGCACACCTGTGATGGGACTGTGCTGGTTTTCTTGGGATATCTGTCTGCACCAGGCAGCTTTTAGCTGGTGGCTGTGAGGCTTTCAAGGCATGTGCTGCTGCAGTATCTGTGTCAGGTGTCTCTCACCACGCTAACCATCCTGATCCAGAAAAGCTCTAGAGTTATTATTTAGGTCCATTTGTGCACCTTGAAATACTGATTTTTGCAGGCCTTGCAGTGAGCACCAGCATAGCATATGTTGGGTTTTCGTAATGGAAACGGATGTTGACTGGTGTGATCCTGGAATGTGAGGCTGTTGCTGCACGCAGAGCTCTGCACGGTTCTGGAGCTGACTGGTGTGCTGCTCAGTCTTGTTTTGTGCTGGTGGATGCTTTGAAGCATGCATTTTGTGCTCTGGTTGTTTCACATCCCACTGTGGGAATGCAGTCACTTGGAGGATTCTGGCTGCAGGCATCCAATGGCATCTCAGCTTGAGTGGCTCTTGTCCTCCTTTCCTTTTAATCTCATTCTAGCGTGACTGTGGAACGAGAGAGCTGAGCAGCCCGGGTGCCGTTGCGCTGTGCCTGCATTCAGTGTGGCCTCGTGGGGCGGCCGCCTGCAGGCACAGCGCACGCAGCGCGTTGCCCTTCCCCCACCTCGTTCCACTAACCCCCGTGCCCCGCTTAGGCGGCCGCGGCAGCCAACTGGGTCTGCTTTCACACCGGCTTTGTTCCTGTGGAATAGGTTTCTGTGCTGTGTATCCCTCTGCTACACAGCGCTGACACCAGTAGACTTGTGGAAGAGTTGCGGGGCTTTAAAAACCCCACTGCTCATTCTCAAGTGACAGCTGCCAGCGGCCACATCACCCAGAGCCCTGCTCCCCGTTCATGGCTGCGCCCATCTGAGCGCTGCAGCGGTCTGACAACGCTGGCAGTGTCTTTTGGGCAGCTGTTGGAGCTGCAGCCAGGCTCGGGGAGGGGCTGGGAGCCCAAGCCCACCTGTTCCGGTACACAGGCCTCTCCCCAGGGCGCCTTTGTTGTGGCCGTGGGTTGCTGTGATCAAGTTACAGACTTAGCTGGTGCCTGCAAGGCAGCTCTGGAGCTCTGGTTAATCTGATGAGTCTCTTTATTATTTTTTTTTGGTCCTTTCTCTTGCTATTCGTTCTATTCTTGCTATTCTTGCTATTTACATCCCAGAAAGGGATGTGCTTCCTTCAGAAGCATATAGTTTCCCCGGAGAAGCCCAGCAGGGTAAAGGCAGTCCTGCTTTGTTCCCAGCAAAGCAGTGAGAAGACGGCAATCCTGGTGCCAGTGTGCTGGAGGCCCCCCCATCCTCCCTGGTCCCAGTGTCCCTCCTGGATGTCGTACCTCTGAGCAGTTGAGGAAGTCCTCTGGAGGCTGTTGTGGCACGCTGGGTGCGTTTGTCAGTTAGTGTGTCTGGTCAGGACGTCTTAAGAGCTTTGGCCAAAGCTCTGCTGACAGCTTTCTTGTGGCAGTGTATAGAAGGGGGGTGAATTTTTCTTCCCTTTCACCCTGGTTTGCCTTCGGTTCTTCCCTCCACCCCTCGCTGCTGGAGATCTCCAGTACTCTGTGAGCCCTTCCCAGCTAGGGATGGTCTGCTGTGTGGGGTCCCGGGCTGCACAGCCGCCACGACCATGCACAGGACGCTGCCTTGCCCCCTCCATGGCGGATGAGGGGCTGGGGGCTCAGGGCTGCTTTGTGCCTCCTGCATCAGTTTTCCCATCCAGAGTTGGTGCCAAGTTTCCGACCAAGCGCTTCGAGCCCTGGGACTGATTTGCTGGCTCTCAGCAAGAGACGGGAGGCTGTGGTCAGGGCTAAGCACCTTTAGTCCTCAGCTTGTGTGCAGTGTCTCAGAGGCCTGCTGCTCCAGGCTGCTGCTAATCTGTTTTGGGGCCTTGGAAAGCAACAAAGGCTTATCTGAGCTGCCTGCTGAAAATAGAAATTAGTGTCGGGAGGACATCTCGGGTCCGTGGCTGTGCCGACAGCCAGCTGGTGGAAACCTCTGTGCTGGCTGCGTGTGTGTAAAGGCTGCCTTTGTTCCCTCCCAGCCCACACACTGACACCACATTCCTCCTCTTGTTTCCAGATATTCAGGAAGGAGCTCAGTGTTTAATCCCCAGCAGAACCTTGGGGGGAATTCAGTGTAAAGTGTAAGTCCTGGCCCTGCCTGCGTGGGTGCTGGAAGCCCTGTTAGGGCTGCGTGTTGGCTGGGACATTGGCAGACATGTAGAAGCTGCGGGGGGTGCAGGCCCTTGTCGGGGCTGGAAGGCACTGAGTCAAAGCAGCAGGGCAGGCGATCAGTAGGCTGCAGCCCACCACCGGTCACACTGGCACAGAGCTGCCCTGCTGGCTGCTCCTCCTGTCTGCTGATCTCCTGCACCCAGAAGGCAGACAGAAAGAGCACTTGGTTGCCCTGCCTCTCCCCCTGCTTCCTGCCCCCAGGCCAGCCTTTCTTGAGGGGCAGAGCCTGGCACTTGCCTTCAAAGCAGCCAGAAGGGTTAGGCAAGACAGGAAGGGAGAGTCTGCAGGTTCAGCTGCCACAGCTCGCATGACTGCTGAGTGCAGGATCAGGCTTCCCTGCTCCAGTAACCTCAGCTCGTCCTTGGCTGCTGCGCTGTGCCTCCTGCCCACGGGTCACCTCTGTGTCACCTTGTCCTTCTGTCTGGGACCTGCATGGTGGCAGGAGAAGGCCGTGCTGCAGCTGGAGGCTTGGCTGCTTTTCAGGGGGATTAAGGGGACGTTTGTTTCTGGAAGCCTGGCCTCTGGCTGGGGTGGTTTCTGGTAGATAGAGGAGGAAATGACTGCTTCCATATCCAGTCCCTTCTACCAACATGGTAGAAAGCCAGTCTGAGCTGAGAGATGCTGAGCTGCATGTACCTTCCCTGAGCCCTCAGCACAGCTCAGAGCCTTGGCTTCTGCCTGGCACAGGGCGTGCACAGTCCTTGGCTTGGCACAGAGCTGCACACTCAGGACAGAAGGGCTTTATGTGCCCACTGCCCCACGTGCCTGCTGGCAGCTGCCCTCAGCATGCTGGCTGTGGGTCCCCACTCTGCTCAGTTCTGCAGGGCGGCTGTTGGCTGTGCCCAGGGCAGGGGGTTTGGGCTGCAGCGCTGCAGGGATCACAGGTTACTTTGGATCTTTACCAAGAATGCTCCCAAAGGTTGGTTTGGGTGGCTTTCCTTTCTGCTCTGCTTTTAACTACTCAGCTGAGGCCAGCATCTCCCAGGAGTATTCTCCCAGGCTGAATATCCCAGCCTCAAAATGAAACACGTGCCTGGAAGCAGCGAGACGCTGCTCTTGGCTCTCACCAGCAGTTCCTGGTGGGCGGTGCAGACCAGCAGCGTGCAGTCACTGCTCCATGCCAGCTCCACTCCTTCCATTTCAGAGCTCTCAGCAGGCTTGTTTGTTTGTTTCTTGCCAGGTTTGTTTTGTTCGGCTGTTTCCTGATGTAGGTCACTGCTGCCTGGCATGTGAGGGGGCCGGGAGCAGGGAAGGAGAGAGGAATAACATCTTTGACTGTGACTCAGTGACAGCCAGTCTGCAGCCCCACACAAGGCAATGCTGAAGCTGCTGGGGGGCTTCTAGGGGCTCTGCAAGGAGGATGTGATGCTCCCTTCTTCCAGGGGCACTGACCTCCTGATTTTCTTCTCTGCTTGGCTGACTGGCCTGGGAGGAGCAGAAAGCAGGCTTTGAAGGTGCGCATGAGCTGCAACCATCAGTATGTTCAGGAGGCTCCATGACATTGCATGCTGCATACAGAGAGAGATGTGTGTGCTGTAGGAAGAAGTGGTCCTCGTCCCCAAACAAGATTTTGTACTGTGCTGGGGGATGGTGCTTGTCAAGAGGCACACCTGAGCGTGTAGCTGCAGCTTGGAGATGATCATGCTCATTTTGAAGTGCTGAACCTTGGAGCTGGGCTGTGCCAGTTACACTGACCGTGCTCTGATTACTCCATCAGGCTTTTCATCAGTAACTCCAGGGTCAGAACAGGAAAGCAATTGCAAGCAGTTGGACTCATGGTTCATCTCCTCTGTGGGCAGGAGCAAATGCCAACAGAAGCAATTTGGCCCCTTGCAGGAGCAGATTCCTGCTGCCTTTCCTGGGCAGAACACGTCTTGGTAGACCTGCCCAGTCTGAAGGGGTCAGCAAGGACAGAGAACTGTTGTGCCTGGAGGGAGAAGCAGAGGTTGGTGGGGCTCCATAGGGTGTGCATGCTGAGGTGGGCAACGCAGTCTTCTCTTCCTCAGGTGTACAAGGGCTTGGACATCATCACAAACAAGGTTTCTCCTCAGGAGCAGCGCCTGTGCAGACACCACATGATCAGCTTTGTGGATCCTCTCGTGTCCAACTACACAGTGGTGGATTTCAGAGACAAAGCTGTGGCTCTGATATCCTTTTGTGCTGCAGCCTGCCTGGCCGAGCAGACAGGGACTTCCCTCCTCCACAGATAGGCCTGCAAGAGAGATCAGTGCTCACGTCAGTCCTGTGTTCCTTGCATAGCAACAAACTCCTGTTTTCAGGGGATACCGCTGGCAAGAGGGGCTTGGATCTACTTTATCCCCGCTAACAGTGAGGGCAGCCCCTCCTCAGGGCTGGCAGGGCAGGAAGCCTGCTGCACAGCAACAGTGCTGAGCCAGGTGTTGCCCCTTCTGGGTGTCCCTGAATCTCAGCAGTGGCTGGCACAGGTAGAAGAGGGCTGGAAGAGACCAGAGAGCTGTAACACTGCTCTGCAGCCTCACGGGCTGTGTGGCGCAGGAAGGGGGGAGATCTCCTTGCAGCCCTTTCTCCCTGCCATGTGTCTGTGCTTGTGCTCCTTGATTGTAGCACATTGAAGATATCTTTGCTCGAGACAAGATCCCGATTGTGGTGGGAGGAACCAACTACTACATTGAGTCTTTGCTCTGGAAGGTCCTTGTCAACACCAAGGTATTGTGGTGGGGCTTCGAATCCCTCTGGGGAGCAGTGAGCCCTGTGTTCAGGGCAGGCTTCGCACAGCTTGGCATGGTACTTCCTTGCTAGAGTGGGGCACGGAAAACCAAAGGCCCCCTGGGGCCGTAGGTCATCTCGCTCATGCTGGCCTGCATGCAGGTGACTGTTTTGGCTTAGGGCTGCCTTGCACCTCGCAGGAGAAGTCCAGCCTGGTGTCTGGGACAGTCACTGACAGGAAAGTGGAGCTGGAGCAGCTGGATGCTGTTGATCTCCATCGCCGCCTGAGCCAGGTAGACCCAGAGATGGCAGCCAAGCTGCACCCCAACGACAAGCGCAAAGTGGCCAGGTAAGCTCAGTGTGCTCAGCCCCTCACCCTGTCCCAGAGGAATTGTGTGCCCGGGAGCATGGCAGGATCCCATCTCAAACGGGTACTGCGAGCCTTCTAGGAATGTTGGAGCACCGGTGCTGGGAAACTGGAATCTGTGCTGCTGAGACCCATGGCTGTGCAGCCCTGCTGGCTTGTGTGCGATGGGGCTGCTCCCATTACCCTGCCCCAGTAGCAGGGTTTATCTAGAGCTATTTAAAGAGCAAGTTGCTGGGCTGGCTGAGTAACATACCTGAGCTCTGTGGGAACGGCACCGCAGCAAGACCAGGCCTGCTGCTTTTTCAGGCCCGTCCCAGCCTTGCCCTGCCCTGGGGGGAGCAGAACACCGCCCACCCCATTCACACGGTGTGTGTGTGGGGGGGGGGGAGGGGGGGACAGAGGGAAGGACACACTGTGCGGCTTCCTCTGGCTCCCTGGTGTTGATGTCTCACAGTCTCCTCCAGCTTTGACAGTGCAGGCCCCTTACCTGCATCCCTGCCTGGCTGGAAAGGGCAGGGCTGGAGCCAGAAGCCTGTCCCCTGCAGTGATTGTGCCGGTGCCAGGCAGGAGTGGGTGGCTGTGTTCTGGGGTGCCACCACTGTACTCTGCTCTGCACCCCTAGGACTCGGGTGTGGTTGGGATGCTGGGCACGGAGGGAGCTGAAGCCTGCCCTTCCCCCACATGAGAGGGTTGGATCGCAGTGAATGTCTGCGGTTCCCTTTGCTGGAGCCCCCAGGGCTGCTGGGGAAATGGAAAAGCTCATCCTTACCCAGCCTCTGAGCTCTGTCTGTCTTTGTTTACAGGAGCCTCCAAGTGTTTGAAGAGACGGGGATCCCCCACAGTGAAATCTTGCAGCAGCAGCAGCAGGAGGAAGGTGGGGGACCCTTAGGGGGGCCCCTAAAATACCCACACTCTTGTATCTTGTGGCTTCATGCAGACCAGGCAGGTGAGAGTGGGCTTTGCGCAGCTCCTGACTGACTGCACAATGTGATGAGGGGTGAAGGCTGACTCCCTATTCCTGCCCCAGCCTCTTCACTGGAGAAGGCAGCAATTCCTTTGGCATCAGCAGGCATGACAGAGGACTCATTCTCCTCGCCTGCTGGGCTCTGCCTTCTTCGTATGGATCAGGAGGCTGGGAGTGCAGAAGGTCCAGCTGTGGGTCTCCAGGTGCATGACTTGAGCAGCTGAGCAACTCCTGCCCTCCTCCTCCCAGCTCTGGACCGACGGCTGGACCAGCGGGTGGATGATATGCTGGCTGCAGGGCTGCTGGAAGAGCTGCGGGACTTCCACCAGCGCTACAATCAAGAAAAGGTGACCGAAAATCGGTGGGTGAGAAGCCAGCTCCCTCACTGCAGGCATTGCTGTGTGTTCCTGTGTCTAGCTTGTCCCCTGATGCCACAGTCTTGTGTCACCTGGGGTGTCCCTCTCTACAGGTTGAGACACAGAAGCCCAACTGTCACAGGGAAGGTTGGGGTCACCCACTGTTCTGAAAGAGATGGCCCTGACTCTTGGCTATTGTCTTCCTCTCCAGGCAGGATTATCAGCACGGCATCTTCCAGTCCATTGGTTTCAAGGAGTTTCATGAGTACCTTGTCAGTGAGGGGAACTGCTCACCTGAGACCAGTGCCCTGCTACTGCAAAAAGGTGGGAGGAGCACCCTGTGTACCCTACGTCCCTCCGCCCCGCGCAGCTCCAGGTGACAGAGCTTGGTCTGAACCAAGCTCAGACCTGGGACAGGTCTTGCTGGAGCTGGGTTGTACCCTTCTCCGTGCAGTTTTCACTTCAGCTAGACCAGAAGGACAGGGACTCGGCATTCCAGAGCATCTCTGAGCACATCCAGATAATTCCTCCCTCCTTTCCCTCAGATCCTCTTGTAAGATGTATCGGGCAGATAGTGACCTGGGATCTGAAACTGATGCACCAGTGATGTGGGTGATAGAATCCCAGCTGGGCTCTGCATGTTGTGGAGAACAAGGCCAGAAAGAAGAAATGAAATAGAGCTCAGAAATGTGGTGCTGTTAGGGGGCTGCTCTGCTCCTCAGCACAGCAGAGGTACTAGGCAGTCAGACAGTGAGAGTTCAGTTCAAAGGAGATGGACACCGAGGAAACCACAGAAATGATTAAACAGGGCTGGTACTGAAGTGCTTTGTTGTGTCTGTTAAAGAGAAGATTACAGAGGGATACAGTAAGTCTGGTACTGAACACTGAGGTTGTACAGTGACAGATGATCCTGTAGGTTCACTGTGGATGGAACAAGAAATCTTGAGTTCTATTTGAACAGAGAAATATTCAGGTTAGGGATTAGGAGAGCAGGACAGCCCATGAAAAGATTGTCCTACTTGCTGGAAGCTTCTGGGGCACCGGTTTGGGGCCCTTTCCCCCAGTACTTATTTGAGGGCATTTGGGATACTTTGTCCAGCCCTTCTGTGCTGACACTGCCCCTGTATTCTGACAGGGGATTTGCTGTGCTGACTGCTTCTCCCTGCTGGCTTGGAGACCTCCAAACTGATAGCAGAAACATTTCTGTTAAGCAAGCATGGTACTATCCAAAGGGAACTTTTGTCCTGCATGACTTCCCCCCTGTTGGAGCCAACAGGCTCTTCTCATTCTGCTTCAAGCTCAGTTTGTAGAGTTGTGCTGACACAGTATTTTTACATCCTCTGTTTCAAAGGGATCCAGGCCCTGAAACAGGTGAGCAAGAGATATGCTCGGAGGCAGAACAAATGGGTCCGAAACCGCTTCCTGAAACGTGAGTCCTCTGTTCCTGTGCTGCCTCACCACCCCTGCTCTCGTGTCTCTTCTCCCCTGCTTTGATGCTGCCTATGTTCATCTTGCCCTCAGCTGTCTGTCCAGACACTCAGAGAGACAGCTTCTCACTGCTTCTGCTGTGCACACTGGTTGCCTGTCAAGGGAAGATCTTCCCCTCTCAGGAGCGATGCAGCCAAGTGCTTGGCCCTGTGCCAGCAGCCATGGATGAAAGCAGGCTGCAGCATCCCTGCAGCCCCCAGGATCTTGAGGGGATGCCCAGCAGGCCCTCGCACGCATCCCCTGTATGAGGCAAGGAGCCCAGCTGACAGATGCCCGCTGGATTAGGGACCAGAGCCCATTGGCTACACCAGGCCCTGCTTGCTGTGGTGGCAGGGAGCCAGCAGGGCTTCCACATATCAGCCCAGCCTTGGAGCAGGGCCAGCAGCAGCAGCTGGGAGCCGGGCACTTGTTGAAAGGTGCTCGGTAGGGGCAAAACAGTAACAACAACAACAACAACAAAAGGCAGGAGGAAACTCGAGTCAAAAGATAGGCTTTGAACAGAGTGCAAGAGCTTTCATGGAGCCATGTGTTTGGTGGACGTGGCTCACCTTTCTGGTGGCAGGTGTGCTTCAGATCAGTCCTATCGAGAACTTGTTTGTGGTTATAGCAATAAAAAGCAGCACCTGCTGGAGCCTGGCACGCGGCAGCCTCTGGTGGCTTTGTCCGAGCAGGGCTGTGTGCCCGATGGCTGCTGGCAGTCGAGCCACTGTGGGCCAGCACTGCCACCAAAGGGAGCGGTGTGCTCTGGCAGTGGCTGTGCTGCCTGAGTGGGCTGCAGCCAGTGCCCCCCACCCTCATACTGAGTCTGCGAGGGCAGAGTGGTGGATTTGTAAGTGCCTTGTCAGGTGGAGGCACTGACAAAGCAGCTCCCGTTCAGCCCGCTTTTGTGAGCTGAGAACTGCTGCAGCCACACCAGCAATGACAGCTCTGAGCAGCAGAGTTGAACGAGAGCCTGCACCAAAAGATTCATCACCCAGGCTCTGTGCGTGCACCTCCTTGTAAGCACAGCTTTGTGTGATGGCTTTATGCATCCATCTAGCTCTTCATTCTCTGTGGCCTCCTGTGGACCATGGTAGCAATGAAGTGTTTGCTTACTGTGCTCTGACTTTTAATGTTGTCCTGAAGGCAGGCGATCATGAAGTTGCTTGCCTTGAGTCTGAGGTGTTACTGCTGTTTGCCCGCAAGCTGAGGTCTCAGGTAATTTTGGCTCCAGAAAGGCTGGTGCTATTTGCTCCTGAGTGCTGAAGGACAGGTTGATGAAAGAGCAGATTCTCTTGAGGTATAAAAGCCACAGAGCCTGCGTGCTGACTGCTAGGGGTGCTGGGCACCAGGCTGGGGGATGCTGGCACTCACCTCTGTGTCCTCGTAGGTCCTGGCCCCAACGTGCCCCCAGTGTACGGCTTGGAGGTGTCTGATCTCCTGCGGTGGGAGGAAGATGTGCTGAAGCCTGCTCTGGAGATTGTGGAGAGCTTCATCCAGGTATGGGATAAGCAGCACTGAGGTGTGAGCTGTGTTTGAGAAGCCTGTTCCTCAGTTACTGCAGACCCCATAACTTGGCGCTCGGTCTCTCCCGCATTTGGGGCTGTCTGTGTCCTTATCAGCCATGCGTGTTTCTGTTTGCAGTAGCAGTGTTGAAGCTGAGAGTTTCTCCCAGCACTCCACTGGTCTTGCATAGTAAAAGAGCATCTTCTGTCCTCCTGACATTATATCTGAGTACAGAAAATTCACAGCCCAAACCCTACTGAAGTGAACACAGCCGTGGCAGATTTTCTGGATGGAAACTCATTTGAGGCATCATGTGTTCGACAGGGACGCAAGCCGCCCGTGGAGCCGGTAAAGATGGAGTGTGATGTGAAGGAGAACAAACGGAGCCATCGTGTGTGCGAGCTCTGCAGCAGAGTCATCATCGGGGACAGGGAGTGGGCAGGTAGGGCCTGCGGGGCTCGGCACAGCGGGGCTGCGCGCAGGGAGCAGCGTGAGGCGGCCTCCTTGGCTGGCGCTGCGCGGCCAGGTGACCCTCAGCACACGATCCTGGGCTTTCAGGGATTGTTTGCAGCCCTGCGTGAAAGCAGCCATTTGCGAGGCCTGAGGGGGGTGCGGGAGCTGTGCCACAGCAGCCATCTGTCGGGCTGCCCCCGGCCCCTGGGGAGCGCTGTGCTGTGCTGCCGTCACGCCAGGCGCTGGGCTCTGTGTGGGATGCCTGCGTTCGGCCCCAGCTCGTCCTTGTGAGCACTTGAGCTGGTCTAAAAGCAGAGCAGATTCAGATTTTCTGAAATGCTGCGTGAGAAGAAAGGTTCTTAATGTCTGTAATGGTTTTGCTATAATTTTTCTTATTTGTATGTTAAAAAAAAAGGTATTCCCAGCTGCAGTGATGATAGTAAAGGATTTTCTGTTTTCAGTGGACTTAGTTTAAAAGCGCTCTGTTGGAATCAGGTTAACAGAATTTATCAGTGCTGCGAGGCTCATGCTGAGAACCAGAAACAAAAAGTAGTTGAGAAGCACTGCAGAAATGGAACTGATAAACCTCCTTGTGCTGCCCAAATGCGGAATATGCAGAGATAACACACAGATAAGCCGTGCCCAGATCATTGGTGATCAGATTTGAATGAGCCATTCATTACCTCTGATCCAGGGAACTGCTGGAAACAGAGGTGGGAGTTGGCTCGCTGTGGGGAGGCCGTTTCCACCAGACCAGTTTGTAAGTATAACTGGCATTGCAGCCAGTCTCAGGTGTTGGAGCTTGGAGGTACTTTGAAGAAGCTTCAGAGCCAGAGAACTCTGAAAATCAGCAGAATGTGTGCTGTCCTTCCAGGTGCAGCAAGTTGTAAAGATGTATGGCAGGGTGGGAGCGCCTTAAGGTAACCGCAGACACAACAGTTGGAACAGCTTCTCCTCTGGGGACGTCGTCCCAGGTTGAGGTGGATGCGAGCACCATTTCAAACCACGACCAGCTGTGTGTTCTCTGCATCCTGCTGGATGTGGCTGCAATCCCAGATGGCAGGAGAAGGATTGCCCCAAACTTGGTGCTATTTAACTGCAAAATGGGAGAGCTCAAAAGGAAGTGAAGGCAGTAGTGGGGGCTGGGTCAGCCTGCAGTCTGCTCTCCTGCTTTAAGTTGCAGATAGTTCTGGGTCTGCTCCCCGATACCCCACTGGCTCCAGGAGATTTTTAACTTCTAACTGTACAGTGTGTGGCACCGCTGAAATCAGTGCTTCCTGAGCTGCTCTGAGCTTTGGCATTGCTTACAACAAATTGTAAGGGCTGTGACTTTGTTTCAAGCTGGGGGTGACCCCACGGTGTTGCGATGAAGCAGCAGCTTTGCAATTTTATCCTTTGACAGAAGAGGATGCCTGGAAAACACCTCAGGGTCTTGATTCAGCAAGAACATACCATTGTTTAATTAAGGCCCTGCTTGAAAAGTTTGCTGCTTTAATTGCCACTCTGATCTCTTGGCAACAGTGAAACTGCCTTGCTGCTGTTACATTGGTCTGGTTAGACAGAGCTCCTGCTTTGTAGATAATACCACTGACGTGGGAGGCTTTGCTGCCCTTGGCAGTAAACAGAAGTGCAGCTCTTGCTGCCCTGGTTTGTCAGTGCAGTTTGCTTCCTTGGGATCACACCTCTGCTCCCGTCAGACTCCTGCAGGGCTCTCGTAGCTGCAGGCCTTGCCCTGGAGTTGTGCAAAAGCAGAACTGTGCTCTGGGCTCCGTCCCTGCCTGCTCTGCGATGTGCTGTGGTGCAGGCACATCTAGCTTACAAATGATCCTGGCCTCGTTCCATGGGCTGATGGAGCACTGCTCCTCATGCACATTCTGCAGTGTTTGCTAACACTTGCCTTTCTTTCCTCCTGCAGGTGGAAGCTCAGGTAGAGCAAACTTGTGGGGCATTGCATCCTGACAGCTGGGGGCTTTCTGCATACAAACCCGGGACTTTTCCCTTTCCCACCTTCTTCTCCTCAGGGGAAGGCTTGAAGGCTGCGCCCTGATTGTTTGATGCAGAGCAAATCAGGCCAGGAGCTCCCTTCCCCAGGTTCCCCAGAGTTAAAAGCTTGTTTGCCTCTTCCTCCAGCTCACACACGATCCAAAGCCCACCTGCACCACCTGAAGAAGAGAAAGAAGCTGGAGGCTGCTGAGCATGCTGCAGAGACGGCGAGGGACAGCAGGAGTGCAGAGACCTCGGGCGAGGACAGCAGCATGCCTTTTCCATAGGCTTGTGAACGTGCTTCCACCTGGACGGCGGGGAAAGGCCGAGTCCTGGGTGGCCTTGACCCAAAGGAGCCGAGTCATTTTTGGGGGATGAGGCAGGTGTGTGAGTGACAGCCAGAGGGCCATGGCTGCGTCAGAGCCCCTTTCTGTGGCCTCGTCTTGCTGTGTTCCCTGCTTCTCCAGCCTGCAGAGGGCTGGCCCTGGGCCAGTGCTGCTGGGCGTCCCGTGCCCTGCATTCGCTCCGGCCGCAGGCTCACGCTGTCCCTGGGAAGGTGGAGCTTCTCCTTTGTGTCTCCAGGTGTGTTGTTCTCAGAGACAGAAGTACTGTGCTCCTGCAGCTTGGCCAGCGGTGCACCTCAGGGCCCGAGTGAGCTCTCACTGCCTTTTTGTGGAGAGGATTTTTTTTGAATTTATATGGAAATAAAGGCACTGGATTACTGTGGGTTCCCCTGCCTATTAAAAAAGTTGAGCTTGCTTGCTGTCTGTTTCTGTCTTGCTCCAGGCACAGGGTGGAATGTCCAGCCCGGCTCCTTCTTCCCGTCCCCTTTTTGCAGCTTCGCTCCGGGAGCTGAGCAGATGTTCTCAGCGTGGTGCAGGCCGTGCGCAGCAGGTGCAGAAAGAGCTGGCACCTGTTAAACGGGAACTTGGAAATGATCTCATCAGATTTGCAGCAGATGAGTCTGTCCTGGTTCAAGCTGAATTCCCGGGGGTTTACGCTGTGGTTTGGCAGTGGGACCCGCTCCTGCATTTGAATCCGAGTTGCTGAGCAGCAAATTCCTGGTGCTGCGTGTCTGTGAGGCAGTTGCTGCCTCAGCTTTGTTCCTCGAGCATGGGAGCGCTGTCTTCGTTCCCTGCTTGTGGCTCTGGTGAAAGCCGTGAGGCCTTTTCCCGCACAGTTGGGATTCTCCTGGGTTTCCTGGATCACGGATCCTCCTGGGAGGCTTTGGAGGTGGTGGAGCACCGTTTTTTCCTTCGACTGATCACAAATCACCGTGTGTCAGATGGCTCCTAGGGCGCAGCCTACAAGGGCAAGGGCCGCATGGGCAGATCTGGCCCTGGGGCTCTGCAGTGAACCGAAGTTCATCAGCACCAAATTATTTCTGCGGCGCTGCATGAGGCAGCAGCTTTGGGCTGTTGGTAGAAGCATGCAGGAAGCTTGCGCTGAAGTCAACGTCTGGGGAGAGCTGGGAGCACTTTGGAGTGCCAGCACTGTGCGGAGCTGGGCGCGGGCCTTGGGATGCTGTGCGGCTCCAGCTGAAGCCCTGCTCTGGCCCAGACTTGTTTGCCATCTGCTGACCGCAGTGCACTGGCTGTGGGCTCGGCCCTGCTCAGGGCTCGCTGCTCGGGGCCGTGCCGGGCGATAGATGGGGTGAGGCTGGGGGTGAAGCCCCATTCGCTGCTGCCCTGCAGCGCGATGCGTCGCCTCACCGTGGAGCAGCTCTGTGAGTGAGGGGTGGGATCGTCTGCTCTGCCTGCTGGGGGCGCTCAGATGGCCGCGTCGTTAGAAGTGGGTTTAATATCCGTAATCAGTTTAATACGAACTTTGTTATCCCAGCACATACATGTTGTTCCCCACCACAATAACTAGAACCTGCCTGCTCTGTTCGGAGCTTGCTTGTGTGGACGGGTCCCTGCCCCGTGCTGCCCTCTTCCTGTGGGGCAGCGGCTCCTCTATGGCTCAGGAGAACGGGCAGCTGTCAGCATCGCTAACTCAGCCGTGCTGGGAAAGGGAAGGTGGGAGCGCGCACCGGCAGCGCGAAGCAGGTGAGCGTTGTTGCTCCGAGAGGTGGCGGCTGCCGATGTGCTCGCGGCTCCCACGCAGGGCCGGAGGCGGCGTCTGCGCGGCGATTTGCTGCTCGAGAAGCCGGCGCGTTTCAGCTCCGCTGTTGGACTGAGCGCGGGGCGGCGCTGCGCTGTGCGCGGCGGGCGGAGGCGGCGCGGTGCCGGTGGCTGAGCGCCCGGCCCGCCCAAGCGCTGAGCGATGCCTGCGTCTCCCCGGTCCCGCTGGGTTCTGCGCTCTCCGGTTCCAGGCCGCTGCCGAGGCCGAGCGGCTGGGGCTGGGGCTGGGGCGCGGCGCTTCGCTCCATCTGCCCTCCGCTAATCCGCAGACAAACGCGGCTCTTCCATCTGTGCAGCCGGAGCCGCCGAGCCCATCGCGCCGGCCACTTAACCTAAATGGCTTTGGCCAAAGATAAGGTCATTAATTGCACTGGGATTAGAAAACGGTTCGGGCCGGGCCCTGCAACGTCGCTGTCCTCTCCCGCGGCCCCGCTGAGCGGCGCGGCTGCGGTCTGAGCTGCAGCTCCTGGGCGCTGCGCGGGGCTCCCTGCGGCGCGAGGCTCCGGGCCGCCGCTCCGGCTGCGGCAGCGCGAGGCGCCCATCAGCGACCCGCGCCCGGCTCGGCCCCGGTGCCGTCGCGCTGTGCCGCGGTGTCACAGCGCCCCCTGCCGGCGGCGGCGGTTTGGCGGACTGCGACGGTCGGACCCGCGTGTCCGGGATTGGACGTACCGGGCACGGCCCCACTCCGTCCTTGGACAGATTAAATGTCGTCTTATTTCACAACCCACCCCCCAAAGAAAAAAAAAAAAGAGGTACAAAAAAAGAGATGAGAGGCGATTTAATCACGTATATTAAAAATCCACCGGGTGGGGCCGGGCCGATTCCTGCAGTCAGCACAGCGATGCTCCTTCCTCTTCCTCTCCCCTGCACGTGTGGGGCCGGGGGCGATGCCTGTACCCCCGGTATCCCCAGCCCCATCCTGCCCGGCCCAATGTCCCCGCGGTGCCACCCGCACCTCACATCCCTGGGCGCAGCTCTCAGGGCGGTGGGAGCGCATCCAGGAGCTGTTCTGGGAGGAGGGGTGCACAGGAACACGGCAGGGCAGCTTTTTGGGGCCGTTCTGATTTATTTCTGTGTAATCTCTGTTGTCCCTTTTCCCTCCATACAAAATGAGTGGCATGGGCATGGTGTGGGTGACGCAGTGATGTGCGCTGGGATGCGGAGCTGCGCTCACTGCAGCAGCGCCCGGATCTGTTTGGACGTGGTGTCGTCATTCAGGTGCCGGGTGGTGTACCTGGAAGTGGGGACCCTCACCACGCAGCCCTGGAGGGCTCTCGGGAGCAGATGGGTCCCCCTGCTCCCTCCCCCTCCTGCTCACCTCAGCGCATTCAGGAGCCCCTCGGTGCTGGTGGAGGGTTGGTCCTTGAGGACTTTGATGCACCCCTTCATCTGCACAGGGAACAGAAGAGGTGGTGAGTGCCCAAGTGGACCCATATGTTTCCCCCCCCTCCCAGCCCCCAGGGATCAAATTCCCCTCTGGCTCAGCTCACACAGAGGTGTCCCCATGGGGTGTGCCCCATAGGCATCGCTGCTGCTTTAGGACATGCGGCGTGGCTGTGACCTCCCCCCAAGGGCACTCACGTCGATCTTGGAGGTCTTGGCAAAGGCCCCCACAGGGTGGACGTGGTCATAGAGGATGATGACCCCGACCATCACCCGCATGCAGAACAGCAGCGTCTCGGTGTTGGTGAAACGGCTGCGGTACTCCCTGCAAAGAGAGGGTCTGAGCTGGGGAGGGAGCAGAAGGACCCCAAACCAGTGCCCGCAGGGTGGATACGCACGGGGTCTCCAGCATCACCCTGCAGACGCAGGCCATGGTGCTCAGGCAGTCGGTCGTGTCCTCAATTGGGAGCGTCTTGTTCTGAAAGCAAAGGGACCCCGGGAGCTTCCTGCAGGGTCCCCAGCCCAGTCCCAGCCCTGCCTGGAGCCAGAGGGGCTTCCTCACGCCACTGCTTCAGCCCCTCCAAGCGCCCCAGCCCCACTCACCTCTGAGACAAATTTGGTGGTGGCATTGCTGAGTGTTTTGAGCATAGGGGTGGCCTCGGCATAGAAGAGGGACATCCTGTTGGCCATCTCGTTGTTCACCTCGCTCTCCGCATCCAGCTGTGGGGTGGGGGGGCATGGGGTTGGTGGCAGCACCGCTGTTCCTCAGGGAGGTGGTCCTGGGGGGCCCCTCTCACCTGGAGGTTGTTGATGCGGTTTCGGCTGATGGTCCGTCGGTAGTAGCTGAAGTCATTCTGGATGGCGGGGTTGGTCATCTAGGAGGAGTACAGCATTAGGGGACGGGATTAGGGCTGCTCAGTGAGCCCCACGGTTGGGAGGGCAATGCTCCATGGCCCAGCTTCAGCATCATGCAAAAAATCAGCACTGGGGCTGATGTGGGGCCGGGTATGGGGACAGCGTGGGACCTGCAGCCCACGGGGGACACCTTGAGCTCATCAAAGCTGAGGGTGAAGTGCAGAATCTCAGCGAACTGCTTGGCCAAGGCCTGCTCCCGCTCCAGGTGCTGCGTGGGGGGGTACGGGGGGCAGGTGAGGGCCTCCAGAAGGCTGCGCAGAGCGTTCTCTGTAGACAGAGCACTGCTGTCACCCCAGTGCCAGGTTGGGAAAGCGAGGCACGGGCAGCGCAGCAGGGTTGCAATGGCAGTGCAGTGAGGGCGCAATGAGGGCTCACCGAGCCGCAGAGAGAACTCATAGAAGCGCTTCAGCTTGGCAACGAGGGGGCACACGGCGCTCCATGCCCTCTCCTGCAGCTGCAGGTCCCCAGGGTTCTGGATGGCCTGTGGGGAGAGCAGCGGGGTGACCCCCAGCTACGGGGAGAACAGTGGGGCGGGGGCTGCACCCACCTCTCGAATCTCCTGCCCAGCACCCGTGTAGGACTGCAGCTCAGCCAGCACGCCCTGCGACTCCTCCAGCACGGCGTTCACCTGGTTCCACACCGCAGTCTCAGCCTCTGTCGGCTGCGCATCTGCAGAGCAGCGCCCCGGGGAGAGAAACCCGGAGGGCTCTGAGTGGGACGGGGCGGCCGAGGCCTGTGATGTCCCCGTCCAGCTGCCCCAGAGCAGCCCCAGCCCCATGCTGACCCCGGGGGGCTGACCCTGAGGGGTGCAGTGGGAGCAACCGGCCGTGGGGCTGCCCCCTCCCCGGGGAGATCCCTGGGGCGGCAGTGGGGCGGGTGTCTGGGATGGGGGCGGTGCGATGGACGGCGGGCATGGGAACTCAAATGGCGTGGATGTGGAACTCATAAGGTAAGAAACAAAAAAAGGAAAATAAAAATCCCATCTCACTTTCAAAGTCAAGGAAAAAATTAGGGCCTTGTTCAAGTTCGTTATAAGTCAACACTTTAAGAAGGTTCCCCATGTGAAACCTGCAAGAGAAGAAACAAGAGGAAAAAAGCATGACGGCGAGGTGGGATCGGGGAAGAGGTGCTGCGGGCAGCGGGGCAGAGCCCGTCCTCCCGGCCCTCTTCCTCCCGGATGGAGATGGGCGCTGCGATGAACGATGGAGCGGAAGGAGCGGAGCGGAGCGAGGAGAGCCGCCGGGCTCCAGCGAGGAGGGCGATGCGGTGGGTGAGTCCCAGAACGGGGGTCCTGGGGAGCGGCCGCAGCCCCGCGCAGAGGGATGGAAAGGGCTGTGTGCACCGAGGGCCCCTCCTGCTGCGGTCCCAGCCCCGGCCGCGCTGCCTATTTTGGGATGCTTGGTGCTGGCGGCGATGCGGAGCTGCGCGCAGCCTCTTCCCGCCGTGGCTGGGGCCGGGCCCCGCGGTTGCTGCTGCTCTATATTTACGCCCCTCGCTCTCGTTCTGCGCTGAGCTCTGGGAGGAAGGAGGGGGGAGGCAGGAAGGGGCTGGAGGCTGCGCCAGGCTGAGCCCCCCGCCACGGCCACATCTGCCATCGCATCGCTGTACACAGCCTGTACAGGAGCATCCCTGAGCTGCATCCACAGGCATCGTACCAGGAACCCGCGGGCATTGGGGTGCTTGAGCCCAACCCTTGTGCCACAGGTCCTCCTGCCTCGCTCCCGGCATCCCCAGCCTTCAGGCTGTCCCAGCCATGGTGACAGGGGGACGTGCTGCATGGCCTCCAAGTGCCACTGATTAATAGCAACGGGCACGTCCCTTGTGCCGGGTCCCGGCACGTGTCCCATGTCCTCCTCACTTGGCTGGGATGTGTCCCCATGCAGGACCCTTGTGGCAGGTGTGGGACATCTCCTCGGGTCTAGCCTCGCTCCCCAGCCCCATGCAGCCTTTGTAGGGTGCATCCAGGACAGCCTCAAGGACACGATGCTGCTTGAGGACTCTGTGCCTGTCCCCATCTTCTGGGGAGCGGCCACCGCAGCGGCCCCAGCCCCCTCCCCACTTCACCCTGCTCACGGGACTTACTTTCAAAATCCAGGAAAAAATGAGGACAGTTTTCTAAATCTTTGCCCAATACCTTTATCAGGTTGCCCATGGCCAGCAGACCTGAGCGAGAGAAACAGCACAGAGTGGAACAGCACCGCGCTGCCACCGCGCGCCCTGGACCCCCCTCACCCCCCACCATGGCGGCACCTACCTGCACCCCTCTGCCCCCAGCCCCGCTGCCCTCCCAGCTGTGAGCACAAGGCTGTGAGTGGATGTGAGGCTGCTCTCTGTGTTTTCAGTTTCTAGAGGCAGGGAGAGAAGCGCTGCGCTTCCTGTGGGCGCTGCTCACTGCCCCAGAGCAGCCCTCAGGACAAGGTGTCCTCCCCACACAACCCGCTATGGGCAGCCCTAACGGGCAGGGCTGGGTGGGGAGGATCCCACACCAGGATTTCTGCCCCACAGACTCGATTTACAAGCCCATCACCCACACCGTGGCTGCAGCCCTGGTTCCTTACCTCAGTGTGCGGTGCAGCGATGATGAGAGCAGGTGCTGTGCCACGCGCCCTGATTACTGCATGGGCCGGTGGGGACCTGCGGGGGGGTGTGGGGTCAGAGCCCCTGGGCGGCTCACGGCCCTTCGGGGCAGCCCCACACGCCCTCCAGCCTTCACCTTATTTGCCTCTGCTTGCTCTCACTGCCAGCAGCCGGTGCTTTGGAAGCCATCCAGCGCTTCCTCGAGATGCAGTCGATGCCTCCACACCGGCACCGGCCGAGCATCCCCTGTGCACCACGTCCCCCGTGGAGACCTCCCGCGTGGGGACACCATGGGGCACGTGGTGCTGAACCATCCCCCATCACCCCGAAGCACCCCAGGGGTGGCTGTCCCCATGTTGCTGGCTGGCTTTGCTCTTTGCTGCCTGCACCCCATTGTGGGGCACAAAGGGTTGCCCACTGCGCCCCATGGGTATCAGGGAGCTTTTGGGGTTCTGTGCCCTGCAGGGTGGTGCTGGGGGCAGTCAGCCTGGAGGGGGACCTCAACCGCTCTGCTCAGGCGTTTGCATAAATTATGGTATCGCATCTTCACGGCCGCACAGAGCTTGTCCTTGAAGGGCAGAGCACAGCTCTCAGGACTGGGATCTGGGGTGCTGGGCACCCAGGGAGGAGCATGGATGGGTCCCTGTGGGGACATGGGTGCAAGGCCTGGCCCTGGTGTGGGGCTCAGCGCTGGGGGAGGGATGGGGATGGCTGCAGCCCCTCTGCCCTGTGCCAGGGAATGGAGATGTGTGGCAGCGCCAGGCTGGGCCCCTCTGTGTCCTTATGGTCCCCCGTGGGGCCTGAGATTCAGCGCCCCATTTGCACCATTCCTACTCCCCCCATACTGGCCCATGGTGTGAGGTGGGAGAAGTGGTGGGCAGCACACGCCACTGTGGGGGGCTCTCAGGAGGGAAATTTGCTCCCTGCCTCCCCTCTGCCCGTCACCATACAGGGACCACGCACCCCAAATCCCCCACGAAGGACACTCCACGCACTGAGCGCTGTGTGCAGCCGATGCGGCGCTGGGGACAGCAGGGTCCCCCCCCAGCCACGCCCGCGGTGTCCCCAGGATTATTTCCGCACCATCTCCACGCGCATCCCTCCCAGCAGGGGCACCGCGGCACGAGGGCTGGATCCTGCCCCCGGGCGACCCCCGGCGCTGACCCCCCCCGCTCTGGGAGCCGAACCCCCAGCAGTGCCCCCACCCTCCCCGCCGGCTCCGCTGCGGACGCGGCCGATTTATCGCACGGCTCCGGGGTGCGGAGCCGCAGAGCCCCCCCGAGCTGCAGCATCCCGGGGGCTGCACCCTCCCCGCCACCCCCTCCCGGGTCTCCCCACCGCCCCCCGCCCCGACCCTGCCCCGTTCTCACCGTGGCGGCGGCGGCAGCGCCCGGTGCGTGCGGTCGCTCCCGCAACGCAGGTGCGGGGTGAAGAGCCGCCTGCCGCTGCGTGCAGCCCTGCGCCGGCTGCCGACTGCACCACAAAGCCCCCCATGGCCCCCGGCCCCCCCACGCCACCGGGGACGGTGACGTCTCAAGTGCGAGGAAGCCGGGGACGCTTAACCCGCTGCGTGCCGGCTGGCAGCGTTCGCGGCCCTGCGGGTCTCTGCACGCTGTAGGACGCGGGGACGCCTCGCACCCCGGGGATCGGGTGCTGCGGGCCCGGGGCGACGCTCCTCCACATTCCTGTCCTTATCCCAGGGCGTCCTGGGGGGCTGGAGGCTGGGGGGGGTGCAGCGAGAGGGATCCACTCGGTGCCACTGTCATCCCATCCCCGCAACCGCCTCGGGTGGAGGGCTCCGAGCACCGGAAAACGGGGCGTTCCGTGGGGTGACAACCTATGGCGGCTCAGCCGTGGGCACAGCCCTCCCGCACCGCCGGGGGAAGCTGCTGCCCTCTGCATCCCGCGGCGGTGTGGGACGGGGAGGGGTCGGGAGCCGCGGGGAGGGGGCGCTGCGCCGTCCTTGGCCGCTTCCCCCGCCGCGCCCCCTCCCCGCTGCTCCCCGCCGCTCCGTGCAGCCTCGGGTGGGGATCCGGCCCCGCACACGGGCACGGCGCGGCGCAGGGACGATGCATTCGGCCCAGGGGGGTCCGAGGGGATCCGGTCCTCCCGCCCCCGGAGTGATGCATCCCTGCAGCCACGCTGTGTATACACAGCTGCAAATATTTGTGTCTTCTTATAAACCGTTCCTCTGGCCCCGTCGGAGGGGGTGAAATTCTCGCAGGGACTTCGGGTGGCTCTGCGGCTCCGGGCCTAGCCCTGGTGGCTGCAGGCACTGCCCCGCTGCCCAGACCGCGCCGGGGGGGGCGGGTTGGGGGAGGGAAGATCATCGGGGAGAGGCAGAGACATCGCTATGGAAACGCTCCGCTTCCCGCGCTGGGAACGAGCATCTCTCCCGGGCGGCAGCGGAACGGGAGGTGCGGGGGCTCTTCTCCAGGCTGTGACCCGCCCGGACATCGGTGCTGCCGCCCTCGGGTGCCCGTTTCCTCTTCTAGCCCCCCTAGGACGCCCCCCAGCATCGCATTTCGCGCCCCCCACCCACCACCGATTGACAGCGCTCCCAGCCAATGGACGGACGGTGCCGGGGGAGGGGGAGGCGGGTGCTCGAGGCTGCGAGAGGGGCGGGAGCGGTGCGGGCAGAGCCGGGGGCGGCAGCGCTGCCCCTTCGCCAGCGGTACCGACTTCGCTCGGACAGGTAACGAGAGGACGGGGGGGGGCCGTCGGGGCTGAGAGCCGCTGGCCGCGGCGGGACGGACGTCGGGGCCGGTGCCGTCGAGGCCGCGTTGTTGCGGGTGTCGAGGATGGAGCCTCCGAGCCGCCCCCACATCTTGTCATCCCAGAGTGCCCCAGTGAGCTTCTTGTCCTCAACTTTATCCATGGAGAGCAGCTGCGGGAGCTCCATCGAACGCTCTGCTGCTCGGGCTGAGCAGCGGCAGCAGGGCTGTGAGGGAGTGGGCACGGCTGTGTCACTGGGGCTGCTGTATGCAATGCAGCACTGCGGGTACAGCGCTGTGGGGTGGGTGCTGCAGGTGGGACTTTTCCTCGTTTGGATGCCGTGGCACAGAACAGCAGTCACTGCGGTGGCATTTGGCAGTGTGTGAGGGCCACCGGCCGGGACGGTCGGCTCCGCTGTGGGAGTTGTGTGGGGCTGATCGGGTGCTGGGGAGCACGGCCACCCCGTACACCTCGCAGAGCCCCACATTTCCCATCCCAGGCACAGCCATGGGCAAGCACAGCAGCAAGCTGGCCCCAGAGATGTTGGACGACCTGGTGAGGAGCACGGAGTTCAGCGAGCAGGAACTGAAGCAGTGGTACAAGGGCTTCCTCAAGGACTGCCCCACCGGAATCCTCAACCTGGAGGAGTTCCAGCAGCTCTACATCAAGGTGGGCTCTGAGTGGGCACAACCCGTGGGGTCGGAGCACCCCCTCCTGCTGTGCCGAGCTCTGCTCCCTGTGAGCTTCCCTCCCTGTTCCAATCTCTCTCCTCTCCTCTGCCCGCAGTTTTTTCCCTATGGTGACGCCTCCAAGTTTGCCCAGCACGCCTTTCGCACCTTCGACAAGAACAGCGACGGCACCATCGACTTCCGAGAGTTCATCTGCGCCCTGTCTGTCACCTCCAGGGGGACCTTTGAGCAGAAACTCAACTGGGCCTTTGAGATGTACGACCTGGACGGGGACGGGAAAATCACGCGCTTGGAGATGCTGGAGATCATTGAGGTACTGCTGCTCCACTAAACGGGGTAGCTTGAGTTTTCTGTGGGCTTTTCACAGGTTTGGGGCCCATTTGGCCACCAAAGAATGGGTTTTGGTGTCTGGAACCTCGGCTGAAAGGTGGCTGTGTGGGGCAGCAGCCCTGCCTTGTCCCAGCACCTCCCAGCTTCCACCCTGCTGCTCTCCCTGCTCCAGGCCATCTACAAGATGGTGGGGACTGTGATCATGATGCGGATGAACCAAGACGGGCTGACGCCCCAGCAGCGCGTCGACAAGATCTTCACAAAGATGGACAAGGACAGGGACGACCAGATCTCCCTGGAGGAGTTCAAGGAGGCGGCCAAGAGCGATCCCTCCATCATCCTCCTGCTGCAGGGCGATGTGCAGAAATAGGGCCCGGGGCTCAGGGCCGGACTAGCTGCAGCCAACCTCAGCTCCCCATGATGGTTTCTGTCCCCGTGCCCTGCTGAGCGCCCCCTGCCTGCTTGGCCCTGTGCTCCGTTCCTGCTGCCACCCCTCTGCTCTGTTCCTGGGCACTGCTGGCTCAAGGTGCCCTAAACCGGACCTTGCAGCTAAACCTCTGAACTGGGGGAGCATCCTGACACCCCAGGGCCAGCTGTCCTCGCACCCTGTTGCCCACTGCCTCCATGGGGATCCCTGTCCCAGCTCTTCTCCTTCCCACTGACCTGGCTGCTGAAAGTCTCAGGGCCCGGGCCCTGGTGCCTGCTCTGCTGGCGGCACGGCATGGGGCTGTTGGGGCTCAGGACTGGTCCTAGGTTGTGTCCTGCCCTCCCCCCTCCCTCACCCAGCTGTAGATTTTCTGCTTCTGCTTTTGATGGTGGGAATAGTCAAGGGTTGGGCAGGGGATTTCGGGAAGTGCCCGAGGCCACCCTTGGCCATGGCACACATCTGATCCCAGAAACCACCCCATCTTGTCCGGTAGGTGACTTCCAGAACTGCTCTGGCACTACTGAGGATTCCCAGAGTGTTTCTGGCCCTCCTGACTGCTGCAGTGCCTGCTGTCCCAGCCCCCTGCCTCTGCCCTCCTGTCTCAGGACAGCAATATTGTCACAGTGGTATTTATTCTGCACATTGTGGTGACAATGACTGCAATATCTGTTAGGAGGCTGTGGAATTACCTACTTTTCTTCCTTTTTTTTTTTTTTTTCATGGAAAAATAAACTGTCCCCCATTGGTGGCGTACCTCCTGAGTGGCTCAACAGGGGAGCAAGGGGAGAGCAATGCTCCAAGCACCACTTTGGGGCTCCCCGAGCCTGTGACACGCTGGGGAGGGAGCAGTCCTGGCACAGGAGGTGGTGTAAGCATAACCCTCCAGCTGTGCATGAAGCTTTGAGAAGGAATAACATCATCTTGGGTGTGTGTGTTTGGGGAAAGGGGGCCGGGCATCTCTTGCTGGGGTTTCATATGTCCCAGGAATGGGACTGCAGCTGCCCCCTGGGTTGGGGGCTGCATCCTGGGCCCACTGCAGCACTGCCAGCCGCTGGGACCTGCTGTTGCTGCACATCAGCCCTCCACCCCCAGCTTCTCTGCACGTTTCGTTCTTCCCCACCGCCAGCCTGCACAGACGGCGCCTGTTGCTAAGGAGCTCTCACCAACTTTAAGTGCTTCTCCGGATTTAGCAGCAGCTCTGGCTCAGCCTGCGGGCAGGAACGTGGCTCTCTTTCCATCCCACAGTGCTCCCACATCTCCCAGTCCTGAGAAGGAGGATGGGACGGTGCCAAAGCAGCACTCGTGCTCCCGTGCTCTGCGCCCATCCCGGAGGAGTGTGCAGCTCAGCGTGCCGGGGAGGGAGGGACGGTGCGGGTCACGTGCGCTATGGGGACATATGGGTCTGTGCCAGGGCTGCCGTGTAAAGAGCAGTGGCTCAGGGCGATGAGAGGGTGACCCCGGGAATGGGAAATTCTTGCTCCCCTCGGGGCCTCCGCGGAGGAAGCTCGGGGATTTGCCGCAGAGAGCTGCGAAGGCCCTGGGGAAAAGGAGGCTGCGATGGGGCTGCGGTGGCGTTCAGCTGCCAGAAGGGCGTCCCGAAGGGCTTGGGGTGCGAGCAGCTGGCTGAGACCTGGGCATCCCGGGCTGAGCCGCCATGCAGGGAAGGGGGCACCTGAGCTGCTCTCCTGGGCAGGGAGAGGGCTGTGCTCAGCGCGGGGGCGGTGGTCGCCCCGCAGCCCCCCGCCCCCCCAGTCCCGCAACACCGCGACCGCTCGGATCTGCGCACGGCACGGAGGAATCCTCGGCTGGGGCGCATCTCTGTGCAGCAGCTCTTCTCCCACAACCCCGAGTTCGGCTGCCCTGGGACTGAGTCCGCCCTGGAGCGCTCCGTTCCCCCGAAGCCGTTAATGTGGGGTTGGGGGCGGCGGGGCGGAGCGGGCTCGGTCCCGAAGAGGTTAAGCCGCGGCCCGGTGGGATGAAACCCCGGAGCTTCATGGGATGCCGTATAAAGGCGTTCCGCCGCCGGGAGCTCCCGGTGCGCACGGAGCGCTGTGCCATGGAGCCGCCGGGCACCGCCGGGGCACCGGGAGCGGCGGGGCGGCCCTGGGATGAGGCGAAGGCGTTCTACGATAACCTCACACCCAAGAAGAAACCAAAATCGGTGAGAGCTGCGACGGGCGCTGCGTCCCGGCTGCTCCATCTCCGGGTGCTCCGCTCCCCCCTGCTCTCCTCGCCTTCTCCCTCGGGCGCGCATCTCCTCCCGGTCCTCTGCGTTCCTTTTGGGTCTCCTCCAGCTCCCCCCGGGTGCTTTGTCTCCCGGTTTCCCGTGGTTCCCTCTGGGTGTGCGATTCCTCCAGGTGCTCTGGGTTTGTCTGGGTCTCTGCAGTTTTCGTTTGACCCAGCATCTCCTTTCAGGTCCTTGGGGCAGCTCTGGGTTCCCCTTCATCCTCCGTGACACCACCTGGGTCTCTCCAGAACCGGAGATATCCCCAGGTCCCTCCCGGGCTGAGATGTCCTTGCAGAGCTACTCGTGCCCCATGAGCTGCTGGTGCCCGGCGCTGAGCCGTCAGCCGGGAGCTCAACGTGGCCGTGGCAGAGCTAGGGGCAGCCTGGAGCCACGGCCCCTACATGGGTTTGGGGATTCCGTGGGGCACAGCCACCCCACTGGGCTCTGAGAGATTTGAGCAGAGCCTGTGTTATCTAACCAGAGCTGAGCTCTGCTGGGTTTAAAAACGGGAGCTCATCCGTGTCTCAGAATAGCTGCACAGTGCTGGCAGCCCGGCCAGGGGCTGCAGATGGTTCTGGCCTTACTGCCTGTGAGCACCCAGTGCGAGGTTAGTGAGATGGGAAGCATGGGGGCACGTGGTGCCGGTCACACTGGGTCTCCATGTGTGACCCTCGATGAGGAAGGCTGGGCTCTGCAGACCCCAAGTGGGGGCATCGTGCTGGGGAGCCCCTGGTCCTGTACCCACTGGGGAACGGCGCTGCTGCTGCCTTCCACCTGCGATGGGAAACTGGCGGCAGGATACAGCCGTCCGTCTTTCATGCCGAGCTTTCTGCCTCCCGCAGGTGTTTGCCCAAGCTCCTCCTCTTCCTCTCCTTGCGGCACTCTCAGCTTTATGGATGGGGAAACTGAGGCACGGCACAGTGCAGAGGTTTGCCGTGTGCTGGATCCGCGGCGGGGTGTGATGGGAGCGATGTGGGTGCCCGGAGCTCAGGCTGTGCCACCCCTCCATGCAGAGCCGTGCCTGCGGTGCCCACCCAGCCCCGCGCCCTCAGCCCGCAGCCAGGCTGCCGTCCCACCTCATGACGAGCGGCTGCAGGGCACTTTTCTGGATTATAAATAATGTGTTTTGAAAACTCAGAAGCATCTCGGCCGCTGCCGTGAGCTTTAATCTGAACCCAAGCAGGGGGCTTGCAGCCTCCCGTGCACGAGGGAAATGGAGCTGGCCGTGGCCCATCTGTGCCCTTGCATGTGCTGGGTCTGTCTGTCCTGTCTATGCGTCCGTCCTGTCAGCAGATACTGGACCTTCTGGTACCTCTGCTTCCCGCAGCAGGGCTGTAGGGTGGCAGGAGGCAGCGTGGTTTTTTGGAGAGCGTTTCTGGGGAGTGCCTTCCTGGCTGGGGAGCGGGTGAATGCGGTGTCCCCACAGCCCGTGGGGATCCGTGTGCAGGATCTCTGCTCTTCCCGTACTGCTGCAGCCATGCTCCTGCCAGCTGGGGGAGGTCAGCGATCAGGTTTGTCACTCTTCAGCAATGTGGAAAATGTCCCTGGCCTCTCCAGAGTCACGGCGCAGGGCTGAGAGGCTCCCACATTGCTGGGAGCTGCTGCCTCCATGTCTGTAGGTCCTGCGCTCGCGTGCCTTGTCCCACTGACCACATGGCCTCCTGTTCTGGGTTTCTGTGGCTGCAGGGATTTTTGGGATGTTTCAGCTTCAGTTTCAGGGGATCTGTCCTTGACCGTGGAGTGAATCCCACCTCTCCCATTTCTCTGTCCAAATTTCATAACGAAACTCACCTCCAAATTTAAAATTTGGCCATGAGGACTCAGTCTTCTCCTTCATCTGGAGCTGTCATAATTTCTCCGTGTTTTAGGAGGAAGGTGAGTCTGGCAGATCCAGTCCTGGGTGATGCAGAATCCCCGCGTTGGGGAGCGCAGAGGGGTCCCTCGGGGGTGGCAGTGGGATGTGGGTGCTGAGTGCCATCGTGGGTACCCTCAGCTTTCATGGGATTTCCATATCTCTAACGCTGGGGGGGCTGCTCGGGATTTACGTGCGATTAGGAGGGTGATTTGAAGGCCTGCCAGCTGTTGGGTCTGTGGAGGGAAATGTGATATTTGGAGCCACTGCCAGAATCCACCTTTAGACTGAAAGAGGGGTGTGAGGCTGCAGTGGGTTTTGCTCCGTATGGGGCCAGCATGTGCTGGGAAAGTCACTCGTGTCAGAGATGGGATTTGGAGCTCAGGAGCCGCCTGAGACTTTTCCAAGCGCTGGGCTGTGGGCGCAGGTCCTGCACAGCTCTGCTGCGCGGCGCCACCGAGCCCTGCAGCGCAGCAAGCAGGATCCGGCAGGTCTGCGCTTCGCACCCGCGGGGCTCCAGCAGCCCACGCCAGGGCAGAGCTGGAGCTTATGGTTATTTTTATTGCTGTGTTTATTACCTCTTAAATTAACCTCCTGAAGGCTCTAAATGGCAGTGAAGGGATCTGGAGCAGCCCGCTGATGTTTGCAAGGTGCCCGCGCTGCGAGGTGTGTGCTGCACGGCTGGATGCCCTCGAGACCTTTAGCAGTTATTAATATTTTCACATAATAAATGGCCCGTGACACCAGAGTTATTAATTAATGAGTTAGAGCATGGAGATGAGTTAATAGCTAACACCTAGCAGGCAGCTGCACCTGAGGGGGGACCTGGGTGGGATGCGATGCTGTGTGTTTGGGTCCCTCTGGTCACAGTGATGCTCTCAATCTCAGCTCATCTGTATCCAGTCCTAATCGCCCACTGCTTAATCTTCTTGCTGGGGATTTTGGGTACTGATGAGGCTGCTGTTGGCCTCGGGGGCACCGGGTGCTGGGAATGGCATGGGGCTGTGGGTGACTCAGTGCTGGGTGCGCCCTGAGCTGGGCAGGACTGGCAGAGCCAGATGGGGCAGAACAACCCCCAGGGCATGAGTGGGGAAAAAAGGCCCACGGTGAGGATGGGGGCAGCTCATCCTTGCCGGGCTGCTGCTTTTGCAAAGCTCCTCATTGACTGTCAGCATCAAATTTGTTTCCATGTTTGCAAGCGGTGGAGATGAATGGAGAGGAAGGACTGGGGTGGGGGTCAGGGTGAGGTTGGCTTTGCTGGACGCCCCTCTGTCGCTGCCAAGCCCCACCGAAGGCCCCTTGTTGACTTTGGTGGATTACGAACATCAATAATAATGACTCATAAATCACTGCCTGCACCACCTGTTTGCCACGTTCCCACCCACAGTAACTATGTCGAGTGTTTCTATGAGCTGAGCTGGCATGGGCTGCTCATCACATCTGGACAGCATCAAGGGAGCGTGGATCTGGCTGAACAGCAGCGTGTGGCTTTTCCTGGTGAGGGGGAAAAAGCTGCACAAGTCCGTTCTGAGCCGGGTTGAGCTGCTCCTCCAGGGCAGTGCTGTGGGTCTGGAGGTGTTGTGGGAGCCTGATTGTCCTTTAGAGGTCTGGGCAAGGTGCTGGAGCAGGGGAGGGTCTGGTAGCAGCTCCCCACTTCATGCAGCCCTGCCCAGAGGAGCTGAGCATCGTGGTGGGGGCTGACGGATGCCCCCTCCCCACTGTCACCCTTCTCATGCAGCCAAAGCCTGAGAATGCCATCACCATCGCAGTGTCCTCACGGGCTCTTTTCCGCATGGAGGAGGAGCAGAAGATTTACAATGAGCAGGGGGTGGAGGCCTACGTGAAATACCAGCTGGACCATGAGAACGAGCCCTTCCTCCCCGGCGCCGCCTTCCCCTTCGTCAAGGTGAGTGCTGCCCATGGAGCCAAACCTGTTTTGGGGAGAGGGGTCACCGAGGGTGTGTGTAACTGAGCAAGTGCATTATTTCCTAAGGGAAGCTTCAAACCTGTTGTGTTAGACAGCAGGAAGGAGGCTGGGTGATTTTCTCCAAGCCAGCCTTTTCCCAGTGTGACTCGTGGCCGCACTCTGGGGGATGTGATGTCGAGTGGGGCGCTGTGCCCCTCTGGGGCTGCGCCTGGGCTCACCGACCTCCCTGTCCCCGGGTACTGCAGGCGCTGGAAGCGGTGAACGCGCAGCTTCGGGAGCTCTATCCTGACAGCGAGGAGCTCTTTGATGTCGTCCTGATGACCAACAACCATGCCCAGGTTGGGGTTCGCCTGATCAACAGCATCAACCACTACGGTGAGCTCAGCACAACGCCGGCACGCGGGCAGGGAGTTACTGTGAGGCGGTGCTCCCTGCTGCCTCCTGCACCAAGCCGTGTGCCGGGCCGTCGCTCCCCGTATGGTAGAACCATGAAGGCTGGAGGAGACTGCTGAGGTCGCCTGGTCCAGCCATCTGCCCGCCGCCGTGCCGCCAGTCGCTGGGCTCTGAGCGGCCACTGGCACGATGGCCCGGCTGCCGGCAGAGCCGTTGGGTTGTGGTACCAAAACCTGTGCTGGCGGTTCTTGGAGCTCCTGGGAGCTCATCCCGTTGTGTCCCTGCCCACAGATCTATTCATTGAGAGATTCTGCATGACGGGGGGGAACAGCCCCATCGGTTACCTCAAGGCTTACCACACCAACCTCTACCTCTCCTCCGATGCCGAGAAAGTGAGTGGGGCCATTGAAGAGGGTGAGTCCGGGGTCTGGCCTGGGAGCTCAGGGGGATCAGAGCCTGTGGTGTCAGTGGGCAGGTGGGGCCTGCCTTTCCCCCATCAGGATGGGACGTCCTTCATGCCCCAGAGAGCCTCAAGTTTCCATGGGAATAAGGCTTTCCATGAGCCCCGCAGCTCTTCCAAGGCAAAGGCACTGTTTTCCCCCTTTATTTCTTGCATGCAAAGTTAGGTTTGTTATCTAAGGACTTGTTATGGCTGTAAGATGTCTTGGGGCCAAGCCGCAGGCTCTGTTGGTGTGTGCGTTTCCTTGTTGTTTGCCCACATCTTGTTCAGGTCCTTGGGTAACTGCCATCCCTCGCCTCTTGCTTTATGTCCCCAGGGATCGCCGCAGCCACCATCTTCAGCCCCAGCAGAGACCTGGAGGTGTCAGAGAAGCAGCTGCGTGTGGCGTTCGATGGCGATGCTGTGCTCTTCTCAGATGAGTCGGAGCAGATCGTGAAGGCTCACGGCCTGGACATGTTCTTCGAGCATGAAAAGGCTCACGAGAACAATCCTCTGGCACAGGTAGTGGGGTGGGGTGGTGTGGGGCAGCCTCTGGGGCACGGAGTGTAGGGAACTGGGACAACTGGGAACAGACTGGTAGGGAGAAGGGAGTCAGTACTGGGGCTGGTCCTGTGTGGTATCTTTCCTGACAGGGGATGGAGTGCACCCTCTGTAAGCTTGCAGATTACATCCAGCAGGGAGGAAGTGTTGATCTGCCTGAGGGCAGAAAGGACCTACGGGGGGGATCTGGATAAGCATCGATGAGCTGAGCCCAACTGTGTGAGCTCTAGCAAGAGCGAGTGCCAGGTCCTGCACTTGGGTCACAACAGCCCCACTGAGCACCACAGGTGTGGAGCAATGCCTGCAGAAGAGAAGCACGGGGGAGACCTCACTGCTCCCTGCAACTCCCTTGACAGGAGGTTGTGGTTTTGCTCCCAGGGAAGACAAGAAGTAATGGCCTCAAGTTGCACCAGGGGAGGTTCAGATTGGATATTAGGAAAATTAAAATTTCTTCTCAGAAAGAGTGGAGGTGCGTTGGCACGGCCGCCAGGGAGGTGGTGCAGTCAGTGCCCATGGAGGTGCCCAAAAAACGTGGAGATGGAAGGGACACGGTCAGTGGGCATGGGGGGGTGGGGGGCTGGGGTTGGACTCGGTGATCTCTGAGGTCTTCTCCAACCTTACTGATGCTGTGATCCTAAGAGGTGCATCCAGTCCTGGTGGAACGGGGAGCAGAGCTCAGCACGGAGGTCTCCAAGTGACAGCTTCCCTTTGCTCCAACAGGGACCCCTGAAAGGCTTCCTGGAGGCCCTGGGAAAGCTGCAGAAGAAGTTCTACTCCAAAGGGCTGAGGATGGAGTGCCCCATTCGCACCTACCTGGTCACAGCCCGCAGCGCTGCCAGCTCGGGCGCCCGGGCCCTAAAGACTCTGCGCAGTTGGGGTCTGGAGACGGACGAAGCGCTGTTCCTGGCTGGCGCCCCCAAAGGCCCCCTGCTGAAGAAGATCCGTCCCCACATCTTCTTCGACGATCAGATGTTCCATGTGGAGGGAGCCAAGGAGATGGGCGCCATCGCTGCCCACGTCCCCTACGGCGTCGCACAGAAGCACAAGCGGCCGCTGCAGGAGAAGCAGCCCCAGAACAGCAAATAGGGCACGGCATGGAGCTGTGAGAGGAGGAGGAGGAGGGCGCCGAAGGCTTCCTGCCTCCTCAGTGTTTTGTGGTGTCGTGATGTTGTCCCCTTCCTCACGGCACCGCCTCCCCGCTGGGTTGGTGTCACCCATCAGCTGTTCAAAAGTCAAGATTCCCAGAGCCTTCGGTTCGACGAGCGAATGTTGAGGCTGAGCAGTTGGACTGGAGAGGGGTGAGCACAGAAAGCCCCTCCTGCAGCTTTCGACAAAATGCTAAAGCAAAGCCCCTTCCTGTCATGGAAACATGGAATCTTCAGGGTTGGAGAAGAACTCTGAGGTCCTCCAGTCTGTCCACCGCTGCTGCCCACTGAGCCACACTGCCAAGTGCAGCTTTCCTTCAACACCTCCAGGGCTGGTGACCCCACCTCCGCTCCTGTTTCATATTTGGAAATATACAAACAAATGCTTACATGAAGAAAAAAAGATGGGAATCCCATTTTCTGCTTTTGGAGTTTTGGGCCATTGGCTCAAAATTTGGATTCCACAGTTGCACCCACAGTAAGGCAGCCAAAGGCCAGCTCTGGTGTGTGCCTTTCTGGGTCTGCAGACACATCCCTGGGGCTTAAATTAAACCAAAAGCAGCCCTAAGATATTAGGAACATCATTCAAAGTCCATTTATTCAAATCTGCAGAGAATTTCAGCCTCGGGGACTTAATTAAAGGATTTTTTCCCCTCTCTGAGCTGAGCCCATAGGGGTGGATAATCTTTTTCTTCTCAGCTTCTTAAAGCTCTGGTGCTCCCAAAATAGATCCTGGGAGAAAGAGCTGCCTCTGCGATTGGGGGGCAGGAAGGGGAATCGGGGTGTGCAGCTCAGCGGGCTGTGAGCGTCGCACCGACGTCCCCAGGGAGAGCCCCCTCCTGGGGATGGGCAAATGCGAACATTACTTTTGCATGCTTCTCTCCCTTCTGTTTGCTCGTTCTGAAATCAGAGCACGCACCACGGGGTACAGAGGGCACTCAGCATGAGTTCTTTGCAGTGACTTCCAGCTTCCCAGCACCTCCCTGGGACGAGCTCTCCCTGTATGTGCCTGTTCCGCTTTGCAGGACGGCTCCAGCTGACGTGGGGGTGGCTGTGGCCCTTTCGACCGATCCCCCGTGGGCTGACAGCGCCCTCAGCGGCTCTGCAGACTTCTGTTGCACTGAATCTTGCTTTGGCAGCGCAAAGCTAATTGCACTTTTTCCTCCTCCCTGAACGCGTTCGTTTTGACAGACGGTTATCTGTGGCACCTGGGTGACCAAGGCCTGCAATCCCAACAAAAAAACTAGAAAGAACTCTATTAGTATTCGTGTCCATCCAAAAATCCCATCTTCATGTGAACCGCGGATGTCGGGCTCTGAGCCGCGTCTCCCAGCCCTTCTTATCTTCAGTGAACATTTCCCAGGTGTTTCCTGAGCATCCCATCCTGGAAGCCCAGCTGCAGCATGGAGGGGGGTGGGAGAACGGTATTGCCTGAGAGTGAGGGAGGAAGGTGGGCGAAGATGGGCTGCGTGGGGTGGGATGCAGCAGGACGGGCCGTGGGCAACTGCGCGGCTGCTAAGGGCGCCCGGCCAGGCGTGGGGAGAGACCCCAGCACAGTTTGTGTCTGCAGCCCCAGTGGGCGCCGCCGTGGCCTTCGTGCTGCGTTGGCCAACAAGTGGACTTCGCTGCTGCATCTCCCGTCGATTTTGCTTTGCTGTTCTCCCGTGGTTTTTCTTGTGAGTGAGCTGCCGCGGCAACAAAACCCCTTTGGGTGGCGTTCTGTAATAAATGGTGTTGGTCGCAGCCGGACTTTGTTGTCCTTCTCCCCGTGGCCATTCTGGTGTGGGCAGCAAGAGGCTGGGGTCTGTGCCAGGGGCCTCCCGGGTGTTCTGGAGGAGGGATGGGGGTGATGAGGAGGAAGAGGGTGTTTGGGAACGTCAGAAGATGTAACCAAAGCAGCTCCCCAGGAGCTGGAGAGTGCTGGTTGGATTCCATGGTGGGAGATGTGATCCCTCCCTCCGCTCCGTGAGCAGCCCTGCGCTCCTCGTGAAGTCAAGGTTAAAAATACGATTTGGCAGCAGATTTCGTCGGCTTGATCTTTTCCCAGCCAGCAGGTGGGAGGCGGCAGAAGCTTTTCGGAGGAGATTTATTGCTGCTGAAGTACCGGGTTTACCCGGACAGCGACACTGCAGTTCTGCCTTTAGCTCCTCCCCAGCGATATGGGAACAGATGGGTCGAGGGGAGGCAACAGATCCTCCATCCGTCACCAAATATAGCCAAGAAATGTCCCCAGGCCCCAGGGCAGCATCTCTGCACGGCGCTCAGCAGCGTTCCTGAGCAGCACTATTTGCTGGGATGTTTTTTCTGCGCCCATTCGCACGGAGGATTTGAAGTCCCTCGTTGCACCGCACAGCCCTGAGAGCTGCGGCTGTGCATGCAGGAGCCAACAGGCGGCTCTGACAGCCGTGCGAAGGCTCCTGCTTAGCACGGAGGGAGGGAAGGGGAAGTGTGCTGCAGTGAGGTCGGGATGTCCTCTCGCTGGTGGGCTGCCAGCACGGGTTTCTCTGTTGCCTGTTTGCTGAGATTTTCCCTGCATCGGGCACTGAGGGCTTTGCAACGAATGCACTTTAGAATAAAGGACACGGAGGAGGAGAAAGAGGAGCCAGAGCTGGGGAGCGTTCAGCTGCCTCTCCACTGTGCCAGCGCGGACGTATGGGAGGTAACCCAGCCGTGAAGCTGCTTCTGCTGACAGCTCAGGGGCAAACTCAGACCCTGTGGGCCCTATGGGAGGGGGGGCACAGTGCCCGTATCCCTGCGGTGCCCCATATCCCTGCGGTGCAGAGGCCATGCAGACGTGGGGCTTCCCTGCAGTGCTGGCAGTGAGAGGTCCCAGGCTGTGCTGGGGGCCTGTGCCTCATCCCCACAGTGCTGTGTCCCTTCTGCAGTGCAGAGCAGCAGGCCGGCCTGCAGGAGGGTGAAATGTCAGCTAGGGGTGGCATGGTGACAGCAACACCCAGAGCTGGGAGGACAGAAGAGGGGACCTGGTGGCAGGAGAGTAAGAAAAGGGCACCGCTACCAGCGCTGCGGGGCCGTGCCAGGGTTTGGACGGCGTGACCATCGTGTTCCTTCCACGCTGTTATTTATAGCTGTGTTGGCTGATGTTGCTGTCGCCTCCTGTCCCCACACCAGGCTTGGCACAGAGCTGGCAGTGTGGTTTGCAAATGCATCTCCGTGTGCTCAGCGCCCAGCAGTGCTACTCGTGGGCTGTGCTCTGTGCTCGCTGCTCATCCCTTCCTTTAGGGCAGGTTTTTGCATGGTTTTCTCTTGGTGACAGAAGGGGATGCAGAGCCCAGTGCAGGCTCTGCAGGCGATTTTTAAGCTCTGCCTTCATGCTGTGACTGGGTCAGCACTGAGCAGGGCTTCTCCTCCGGATAAAGCAAACCACGTGCAGCAGTGCCCGCACGGATGGACTGGATCCAACCCAGCCCAGCCTTACAGCAGCAGAACCCACATATCTGTGCAGAGAGCAGATAATGGATGGACCATTGTGGGCAGCCCCAGGTGCAGAGCAGGATCCGTGAGAGGTGCAGGGGCTGCACTGTGCAGCTGGGGGGGCTCTGAGGGGTGCATTCCCACAGCATTCCTCCCAGGGCTGAGAGCTCAGGAAGGAATGCTGCCCAATGGCCAGGGCAGGGGCGGCTGTGGGGATCATCGAGTGTGGAATGCAGCGATGGCACACGGACACGGGTGCCACGGGGATGGGGACAGCACAGCCATTGGGGCACCGCCATTTGGGGCATGGCAGCTGCTTCACCACTGTCTCCAATGCAGTGCTGCTCTGGTGCTGTACAGAGGGGCACAGTGGCATCGTGGGGCCGAGGCCACGTGAGCTGTGAGGCTGTGGGGTTTCTGCTCGCTGTGTGTGTGCACAGGGCCCCACTTCCACAGCTCCTCCAGGTGCGGCTGGGAAACATTAGCAGCGCTGCGCTGGGAGAGTGTGGGAACTGGAAGGGAATGCTGTAGAGCAGCCTTTCATCTCCCCACTCCTCCTCCCCTGCTCCTGCCAAGCCCAGCTTCCTCCGAGGCCTTCAGCTCGTGCCAAGCGAGGCAGAGGGATGGGGGATGGAGAGAAAAAGGGAAGGAAAATAAAAAAAAAACCAAACCCACAGGAATGTGTTGGGGATCTGGCTTCATTCAGGCTGCCGTTGGAGAGGGAGCCCGTGGCCGCCCCCGCTATGGGGCAGGGGGAAAGCAAACAGGGATGTGGCCTCTGCACTTTTACTGTGGGGCTGACAAAGGGCTGTGGGGCTGCATCCCCACTGCGGGGCCGAGATCAGCGTCAGAGCAGCTGCAGGGCCGGGGGGAGCAGGCCCTGTGGAGCAAAGTGGGGCTTCGTGCTGGGGGACGGATGGTGGTGGCTGCTCCTGGGGAGGGCATGAGGGAGGATGGGTTTTGGGTTTTGACTCGCTGCCGACTTTATTCCCAGCAAATTAATAATTTCCTTTCACAGTAACAATGAGGGCCCGCCTGTGTGTTTGTGTGCTTGTCCCCGCTGCCCCCCTCCTGCAGGGCTGCAGCTGCACAGAGCTGTCGGGCGGCCCAGCTGTGAGCGGAGCGTCCCGGCGGAGCGCGGGGCTGTGAACGGATGGGGTGAGAACGGGGGAGGAGGAGGCGGGGAGCGCGCTGGGTGGCGGCGATGGGAAGGAGCCCAAGGGGCAGCCGGCAGCGCGCAGTCACCCTCACACCTGCATGAACGCGGTGCTGGGTTGCAGGGCAGCTGTGGAGCGCAGCACGCGGGGCGGGAGCGCCCGTGGCTGCAGCGAAGGGTTTTAGCACAGCGGGGAGTCCTGGCGTTACTGTAGGCACTCGCACAGCCCGTGCCCACACGGCTGCGCCTTCTGCACGCTCGCTCCCACTTCCACAGCGCCTGCACAGAGCCCCTCTCCCGCGCGGGCACACAATGAAGCACGCGGTATCGGGAGATCTGGGAACGCCGTCCATTCCTCGGGCAGCATTGTGAGCTGTTCCTTATTTATACCCCTGGGGTGGCGTCACAGGTGGGTGATTGTTCCAGCTGACAGCCTGAAAAGCGAAGGAACAAGATTTAACTTCCTGCTATTCAATTAGAGAAAGTGAGCATTCATCACCAGCTGCGGGCCGCTGGCAGGAGAGACCCCCGGAGAGGAGTGCAGGCAGCTCCCGCTGCCACGGGCACAGAGCGCTGCCCACCGCCCGCAGGTGAGGCCGGGCGCAGCGCTCTGCTCTGCTCCGGGTCACCGCGTTCGTCTCCGGAAGGCGACTGCCCGCTCGGAGCGGAGCCGCGTAGACGCAGGGGCTGCTTCCCCCGGTACCGGCCGCAGCCCCAGCCCTGCCGCGCCGTTTTCCAGGCTGGCACGTGGCAGCCGCCTGCCTTCCTCCTCCCGGCGCTGAGCTCCCCCAGCACCTCCCG